AAAGAGTTGAATTTCTCAATCCATAGAGTGCTTTGGGCCAAGTCAAGTTGCTCACAAGTGAATAAAACTATTGGCCAACATCGTAGGTCTGCAGTTTATGCAAACAGCTTAGAGCTTTTGGCCTTAGCATGCACTGCAGACCTATGATGTTATCTTTATAAGAACCTAGCCTCATAGGTATGCAATGCCTGTAATTGGAAGTAATATTTTGTTTACAGGTAAATAGGCCTATAACCAATGTAACTGATACTGATATTTATTTTTTACAGTTAATATTGAAGAAGATGTTTGTGGCTGTGGACAGGGAACATGTGAATGTGACAAAGAAACACAGCGTAGCTTTTGCACTTGTTTCAAGGGATTTGAAGGTAACAGCTTGTTTTGCAGTTACCTTTATTTGTCATTGTCATTGTGCATCCAGGTCAGTTTATGGTTAAAATNCTCAACCACGGATGCCTTTAGTACCTGTGATCCCTCTTTTTGTGTTTCTTGATGTCTTGGAATCTAACATCATCCCTTGTAATTACAAGCATAATTACCATCACGATATTATGTTTAAAACGTTGAAGAATTTAAAGCATTTCACATTTCTCAACACAGCTGTCCAGAACAGGAATATCGGCATCGCAGTGGCATTTTCTGTTGTGGGTGTAGTTGCTGGAGCAGTGGCCATGTGGTTCTACATGAGAAGAAAGTCTGCAAAACCCAAGCCTCAAAGTATGTTGTTTTCAAGATTTTTAAAGTCATGCAAGAGATTTGTCATGCATCACTATGAACTTGCTCAACCTTGGGAATATAAATTCTGAGTTTCTCCATTCCCATTCAAAAATATGACTGCTTGAGATAAACTGTCACAGTAAACCATTACCTTAAATCGCTCTGACCGCAGGCCCATTTCTCATACCTAATTGAAACATTTGACCTGTTATATCCTTTCTGACTAACTAGCAAAAAATTTGTAATCTCAAAACAAATTTTAGAAAATAAGAGGCCCTGTAAATGCTGGCATTGCTTAGCTTCCCCCAGACTTCTTTGATTTTAGAAGGGAAAAGTTCTGGGAATGAGCACATGTCCTGAGACTTTGACCCACAGAGAGCCTTTAGAACTCTTTGGGTGATCTTTGAAAATCCTGGCTCTGCTTAGATAAAAATATGTTTTTGACTCACGTAAGGTAGACAGGTATATTTTACAGTCAAATCGCTTTAATATGGACACACAAGTGCCAGAGCAGGCTGTTCGTATTGAAGTGTCTGTACATGTACTATAGAGTCAGAGATTGTATGAATTCTGGCTTCTCTGGGACCAATTGAACTTTACATCGTGTAGAGGCATCTCTAAAGAGAAGTTAACTAGTGGTTAGCTTTGACGATGCCAATGGCAACATAGGGGGATAAAATTGGCAATGACTAGCCAATGTTACTTAATATTGTTGTACTGTTACTTTTTTTTTTTCTAAGGATTTGGATTTGATGGTGTGGAGGAAGTAAAATACTCCGGTGGAGAGATGATGTACACAAACCCAGCTTACAGTACTCTGGGGGATGAAGGTGTCATCACCTTCAGCAAAGACAAACTCAACAATGCTAGTGGATAATGACTAGTGGCAGGGGAGGGTGGAGTAGTTACTCAGCTGTGTTCCTCTGTGGGTGTCAAAATAAATAACAGTGCTAATCGTGCCAATATGACTAATCAGGCGGTAGATTAAACCACAGAAATACAGAATTTTTGTTAGGGTTGTAGATTGTTCCTCTCATCAAATTAGTCTTTCCTCACGACACATATAGATCATTTTCACATGACATCATCGAATTCAAAAATCCAAAACTAAAGAGCCATGAACGTTTTTATCCTCATCAGGCATAAGGGGATCTAAACTTATATCTGTTTAGAACTTTTCAGCTCAATAGTGTGCCTGGCTTCTAAACCAGTGCAGTTTGAAGTTCAGACTTATGACGTTGCGTGCTATACCGCTCCAATCGTGTTCATGGAAATATATACACTTATCTAGTGATTTTTAGTCCTGTTGGTGTTAGGAAAAGGGCTTGTGTAAATGCTTGTTGGTTCAGTTCAGATAATCAGTCGCCTAGATAGCCAAAGAAAGTTCCAGATGTTTGCATTATTTTCCGCTGCCATATTGGTGGAGCACGGTGCTCCACCAACATGGCGACTCCATACTGGGCTCTGTATAATTATTTGCACAAAACATTTCGATGAATATTCGAAGTTTGGGACGACGCAGAGACCCAAAACTTGAAGAAGTGTATTCTGTATTTATCTCCTATAACATTACAATTTCTTGACTTTATCCACTGAATAGTTTTTGATTTATTTTTGTTGTTGCATGACAGTGAAAACCATCTAAATACAGAACATTAATCTCATTTTTAATTTCAGCGTGCACACTTTTTTGAGTTGCACTGTAAGACACCAAAACCTTTTCCTACTATCGAAGCGTTTACCTTCTGTTATAATTGTGAGACTTGAGGTTTGTGCAGTTACCCCTTTATTGTTGTTGTTTTCTTTTAACTCACATGATACTCATAAAATGAGATGGTGGATTTCATATTATCAGTTAAGTGATTTCTGTTGTTTCTACTTAAGTGCTTTGTTTGTACTTTAAAGCTTGACTGTGTATTCATCATAAAAAAAATTCAATGTATCGTACATTTTTCAAAAACAAGTTTGTGGATGATAAGTTAATTCCTCTTCAGTTGGTATTTTTTAATACATATTTTTAAGCCAGTTTCTAGCATTAGCTAAACTTAGGTCATTTTTTTATATGTCAGAATATTTTTTTACAAAACATGACTTTTACATTCCCAGAAGTCAAACTTACTTACGTATGTAAACAACATTGTAATTTTCTAGCACTTAAATCAAATTCTAGCNTGTT